CCAATAAAACTAACTATAGGACGTAAAGGAATACCATCTTTATGCAGCTTTGGGATGCCATACAATCGAGGAGTTACACCATCTTTGACACAAATCTTTTTGTAAGTAGCTTCAGGGATTCTGTCSTCCAATTTAGATAACACTTTATGCATTTCCTTTTCWCAAGATTTAGAAGGATCTTTTTGCAGCTTWAAATATGTATTAKTGTCACTTAACATGTCGTTTAATTTCTTATCGTAGTCAGTTCTATTCATCACTACRGTTGAGTTTCCCTTGTCGGCTTTAAGAACAATTATACTTTTGTCTTGTGAAAGGGATTTTAAAGCTTTGATTTCATTCCTGTTAAGGTTACTAGATGGTGGTTTTACAGATGACAGAATACCAGCTACTTTACTGCGTACCKTTGCTTTTTCCTCGGCATTTAAATTGTGCAARGAGMTCTCTATTTCAGTGACAAATTGCTCAWTGGGTATTTTCTTAGGCGCTGGTGCAAAATTCAACCCTTTAGATAACAATGATTTTTCAGCATCAGTGAGAGGTCTGTCGGATAGATTTCTAACCCAATTTGTAGTTCCTTGATCTGTCAAAGGTGTGGTCTTTTTAGTTCGCTTTTCCCTCATCTTTTCAAGTTTGAGAGTGTGTTTAGTTCGAGTTTCTTTGTAGACACGATCAAAGTGGAGTCTAAGTTCTCGGTTCAGATGCCTGTAAAGTCTATCATTGCATACCTTTTTGAGAGCTGATGAAAGATTGTCAAAGGTTTCCTGATGTTTTCGCAGCATTAGATGATTATCTTTGATTCGTAGATTAATTAGTTTGAAACTAAATCGYTGYGCAAGTTTGTAGCCTTCATAGCTACGCGTTGGTGGTCTTATAYGAAGAGAGTCAGGTAGTAGTTCTTCATCTTTACAACGGTGGTTGAAGAACAAGTGACACTTCTGTTTCGCCATGTTACCGTTTGTTACAAAAAGTTTCCTCGCCAAACGAAAGTTGTCAATTCCACATTCTTGTTGTATCAATGTTATCTCATCTATAACCGTTTCGCCGCAACAGGTTTGCGATTTACGTTTGTATGGCTCTCCGCTACAACATCCTTGCGATTTTGCGTCAATCACCGTAACACCACAGCACTCATGTGTTTGCATTCCGTACGATTTTCCGTTGCAGCAGCCCTGCGTCTTTGTGTCAATCACTTCATCACCACAACATTCTTCCGTTTTACTTTGATAGGATTTTCCGTTGCAGCATGCGTGCGTATTCTTGTTAATCGTTTCATCTCCGCAACACTCTTGGTTTTCAAGTGAATAAGACTTTCCGCTACAGCAGCCGTGAGTCTTTGTATCTATAACTCCCTTTTCGCAGCATTGTTGCGTTTTAAGCTCATAAGATTCTCCGCGGCAGCAACCGAGTTTGTTCTTGTTAATCTCATCTTTTCCACAGCACTCTTGCGTTTTTGTTTCATAAGCTTTCTTTCCACAGCACTTGCCGTTTCTTTTGTTTGCTATTTCAACTCCACAGCATTTATGCGTCTTCAATGTAAACGTCTTGCCATTGCAACACCCTTTCGTGAAGGGATTGTAAAACCCACAGTCTATAATAGGCCACCTTTTATCTTCTTGATCATTTATTTCTGAAGATGAAAAAAAGATGAATAGTAATTCATTTTGTGGTAAGAGCTTTTGCAAACTTCAATCTAAATATATAATGAGTATAGTAATGTCACAGTTGTCTACATCGAAATGTGTAAGCAGAAAAGGCGCGCAAACAGATTGTAACGCATTAATGAGCCCTCGTTCCTGTGTACTCATATTCATCATTAGCGCGATTTATGCTAACCCGTGTATAATGAGATACGCGCGATATATGCGCGCTAATCTGCGCGCTAGGAACAAAAACAAAGCAAAAAAAGGAATCCGGTCAGGTTAAACTCAGGCGGAAAAATAATCAATAAAGCACACAATAATTCGATAAGTAGATGCTTACTGCATGTATAAGACGTATAAGTATTATAAGAAAATAACCAGGTGCTTCACAAACCTAGTGTCTCTTGTTCATCTTTAAAAGTCTTCCTTCCGACTTTTTGTTCAAATGCACTAGCACGGAATGCACTCAGACACAGAAAGACTACCAAAAAGCGCATGTTAATACACTTTTTGCAAAGACGACGACTTCGAAGTGAAGCAGACTAAGCAGTGTTGTATGCAGATGGTTCTAGCACTCTCACTGTTCTTTACAGTGATATCGTGATATTGAACTTAACCAGTTATAATAGGAATGAGCCAACCTTTGCAAACAAAATAGCCAATCGTTATCCTTTTACTACGGATGAGCACATCTTTATTCAAGCTCATCGTACAGTAACTTATTACATGGTCTTCCTGTGGAAGCCAATGTAATAATTTTACTTCAAAAAAGCAACGAGGAACGCCTGGCTGCTTTATACGGCTTTATGGGAGGTGTGTCGGGAGAGCAGGAAAGCTCTTGTTTTTTCCCCTCCTTACGTTTTCCCCCTCCCCCCCTCCCCTATATCCGCCACGCAGGCTAGTTCAAGACCTATAAAATACGACATCTTACATGAAAACTAACATTATGAATAAAAAAATTAAAATTCAAGAAACTTTCAAGAAAGCTTGTTAAAACAAGCAAACGATAAAATAGAGCAGTCTATAGTGATCAACAAAAAACGGCCGCCACAATTGAATAATTTCCCTTCACGAAGTAACCGACGATAGTTTGTTATGTTTGAAATAATTTCTTCGTTTCAATAGTATTCTCTATCTAAAAAATAGTCATTTAGCAAGCCATTCAATGATTTTTGTTGCATCTTTTGTCAAGCTTCGGTTGAACGTGAACGACCGTATTGAAATTCTAAAAAGTTGACAATGATTAAAGCCATGTAAATAAATAAATAAGTCTGTTAAGTGACCATCCAAATGATTTTTTTTACTTCAGTCATTCGTGTTGTTTCATGGCCTGTGCTCCATGATTCACGTATCGAAACGCTATCCCCAGGCTACCACTCTCTTCCTCAGCATGGCGTCGCACTGCAAATGTTGTTAACTGAATCGAGATGATAACAAAGGTTGATTACAGAAAACTTGCCGAGTTAAATCAATATTTTGGTCTAAATAAATGTAAAGTATCTCCCCTAGTGAAATTGCATTTCCCAGTTTTACCTGTTTTACCTTACAGTTTTTCTCTCTTTGCGAAAGTGCGCAAAAATTGTTTGGATGTCTGTTTTCATTCCACCTACCCTGGTCCCAGAGGTTTGATATTTTCTCTCTTCGTTATTGTTTTTGTTGGCGC